ATTATCTGAGTCCATGAGAATATCATTAGTGACTTTCACCAGAGCTGTTTCTGTGCTATGATGAGCTCTAAAGCCAGACTGAAACTCTTCAAAAAGTTCATTATGGTGTAACTGGTCACACTCTTGTTTAGCAACTATTAGCTAGTAGCGTTCTCTTAAATAAAGATTTTTATGACAGCTACCTTAAAAGTCTGAGGTATATATCCCTGGAACGAGTATAGGTTTATCACATCTAAAATGGAATTGGATCTAATATACAAGTTGAAGAGTTAGATGAAGATAATAGTTGCTAACTCTGAAATCTCAATTGGATTAAAACAGTCTAAACCCAGTTTAGTTTTACAGTCACTTCAGATGCTGCTTCACCTTCCAAATTCATATATAGAGGGATACCAAAAATTGTATTTTTAATAGAATTAATTAGGGCTTGGCAAGCTATGTGTTCATTTCACTTTAATTCATCAAACTGTTAACTCTGATATTTACTTTATCACGTGTTAAGACATGTAGCTTTTATTTTATGAAATTTGTTGCAGACTGCTGCTTATTAGGGGTTTGACTTATACTTATGGTGCGCCAATGAACTGGCTGTCAGGCCGCCTGCGTTTCAAACAGAAGAACTGGGCATCACAGGCTGTATAGAGAATGGGAAAGGAAAAAGAAATATGTGGAAGAACCACCATTAAACAAAATCAAGAGAAGCTAACCACTGCTATAGCGAAGTGGATAGCTATAGACGTTAGACCGCTTAGTGTTGTGGAAGACGTTGCTAAGAAAAACATGAGAATCGCAACAAATCACTGCAGTTATGAAATGCCATCAAGATCCACCATTAGCCCGGAGAAATAGAAATAAACTAGTTTTATGGAAAAGAAAGTTGATGCGCTGCTATGTGAAAAGGACAGGAAAGAGCAGGCAGCTGCAGCTACCAGGCAGAGAAGCTGCGAGAGGAAAAGAAGCAGCTGCTGTATAGTAAATTATAAACATGTTGTTCACATCCAATTATTGGTAGGGACAAATAGATCCGTCCAATATTTTGGTAGGGACATGTCCCTATGGTCCCTATGCAAACCTACGCCCATGGTTGCAATAAGCTTTAATTTTTTATTACTATTATTATTTATTTCATGTATTAAAATTTGCTTTACATTTTTTAAGTTTAGATTTACAAAAATATTACCAATAAGTGCTGATTTGAAGTGTTTACACGATATGTTTAAGTGATGATTATGGCACTTTCATTCATAAGACAGAACATTGAAATAAAATTGCTCTTTAGCTTCTTGGAGTTTGGATATTAAATGCAACTAATCAGGATTAATCTGGCAAAATACGTGATTAATTGCAATCAAAGATTTTATTCGTTGCCCAGCCCTAGAATTAATATTAATTGTAAAGAATCCCATAAAATAATTACTAGGTCGAATTGACAGTTCAACAGAGCTATGGCTCTGGGTGGGTTTGGCAACTGTATTAAAAAGATATCTAGGATTATTCTTATTCTCCTCTATTAATGAGGAGAAATATGCTGCTCTTGCTTTACAAAGGGTCCTCTTATACAGCAGTAAACTATTTTTCCAGACTAGGTAGGATTCCCGTAGGCCTGTGGAGCAATATTTTTGTTTACAGTTACATAGCATTTTGCCTCAAAGTGCACAGCTCTGCATTAAATCAGAGAGCGAGCACTCTATTTTCAAAGTTTAACTTTTTCGAAGGGGCTATGTTTCTAAAGCAGTATGCAGGGAATTAGGAACCCCATTAACAAATTATTAAGGGATATAAATGAAAAGGCTGCCCTCTATAGTATTGTTCAGTGATACAGAACGTCTTTGTATGCAGACTGGAGCTCAGAGGTATAGAGCCTTTATGGCCTCTTTATTGGTAGCACTGGGGGGCACGTATGTAGCAGTAATGCTGACATACTGAAATCTTTGGGTAGATAGAACAGGCTGAAATTAACAGTCAGAAACTCAATGTATGGAGAGCAGAAGCTGGTGACCGATCTAGCGTTCTTGCACCAGCTGTTGTTGATGTAAACATATAGCCCACCACCCTGAGTCTTACCGCTTAGTTCTTAGTTCCTATCGGTACAGTATAGCATTTTTTCTTTTTTCTTTATTTGAATTAGGACAATGCACATTCATCAACATGTCAGCATAAAGCATCAATGTACAGCTACACAGCTAACAGCTAATTTGCATCCGCTGTCCTAAGGCAGGTAAAAACAGTGAGCATTAAACAAGATGCTACAGGAGAAAACAGAGTGGACACAAACAGATAAGATGCCAATAACATAAAATCACAATAAAATTAGGTTAACAATAAAATGATGTTAACAGGCCCATGGAAACAGATCAATTTACCTGTGAACACATGTCTGGTTAGTTTTCAACCAATGTTTCAATGAGAATTTAAAATGTACGTAGGTTCCACAGCCCCTAAAATGAGCTGGCAGTGTGTTCCATAACTGTGAGCCTCTGATGGATGCAACCATTTGGCCAAATTTGGTCCTACACCGCTAAACATTATAGTCTCCTCTGGTTAAAGCTCTAGTGTTTATTCTAGTAATGTTTTTTTGCTTATAAAATCTGTTAGAGGAGGAGGAGCAAGTCCATCTAAACTTTAAAAACAAGGCATGCATCCAGAAACATCTGATGACATTCAAAGTCTAAAATGTTGTACTTACTTAAAATGTAACAATGATGATAATGTACAGGTTTTTTATCAAGAACTTTCAGAGTTGTCTTGAAGAGAGATTGTAGGGTGTTAGCCCCTCCAGGCTAATTGCTGGATGCAGCCAAGACTCCGTCAGAATGATTGCGCAGCAGTTACTAATCTCCTTCCTTGAAGACAGTTTCAGTCACAGATTATCCATTTTGTTTCCAAAGAGCGGACGTTGGAGAGCAGGAATGATGGAAGCAGAGATCTGTGGGGATTTCTCTTTAGCTTTGCAGTTTGCTCCCCTCTGCAGCCTCTCTGTCTCGCACAGATCTTATTCCTACTTTTATGTTCCGCTGTTGTTTTGTTTACATTCGTCCGTAGCACTCTGCTGCTTTTTAAACGGTCAAAAATGGATTTAAAACATTTTTTTACCGTAGGCGTTGGTGATCATAGATGCGGGTTTGATGTCTAGTATGTATTGTATTAAGCGGCATATTTTGTGAAATTAACGAAATTGACGAGGAGCCGTTCTGGGCCGCTGCTTTGAAGAACTCATCAGTCCTTTCTTTTTCTGGAAGGATCTTAAAAATAAGTGGTCCTCCTAATTGTCAATCATTGTGAATCTTCTTTTGTAAAGTAAGCTTGTATGAGTGATGCAAACAGCAACTGACTGAAATTGACTCATGCATGCTCTCGCATGCATTTAATAGGCATTCCCTCTCGTGAGCAGGTGCGGGGTTGTGCATGTTAATTTTTCTTTTTACAGTGGAGAGGGCAGGTCTTTTCAACAAACCTCCACTGTCCACAATATATCTGGTAATTCTGTTACCTTAGAGAGGCACTTAAGCTATCTCTTTTGCTGTGACAGGACCAAGCATTTAATTTACAATAGCTTTACAAGCTGGTAGTATAAATGATTCTGCTGCAGTTTGGGACTTTTTTCACCTTTGTGGGGCATCGGTGCTGTCTATTTTATTCAGGTTGCTGTTTGATTCAAAATGGCCGACTTCATGAGAGGTTTAGACCATGGCTCCAATGAAATTTTTTGTAGGTGGAGGGCTCATACAGATGTGTGCCAAATTTCATTATCCTAGGAACGAGCATGGCTAGGGGCTGAATTATTTTCTGGCATTATCTGTCCACTTGACCAACTATTAGGCGAGAACACAAACTTTTGAAAAATCAGAGTGACGGACTTTAAAGAAGCGCTTTGCTATTGTAACCAGCTTATAGCAGGCTTTGTAAAGAACGTATTTTGAAAGTTTTAGCTCATTTGGTTAAAAGGCTGATTTTATAAAATTTTTTGAAAAGAGGTCAGTGCTTTCACAACAGGGTAAAATGTAATTCAAAATGGCCGACTTCCGGTGGGGTTTAGACCATGGCTTCAAGAGGTTTTTCGTTAGGGCCTGATGAGATGCAAATGTGTTCAAAGTCTCAATATTCTTGGACTAAAAACGGCTTGGGGCTGGTGGTTTAAATTTTGTTTTTTCTAGGGGGCGCTGTAGTGAAATTAAGCCCCCCCCCCCCCCCCCCCCCCCCCCCCCCCCCCCACAAAATATTGCTCTGGATTCCTGTTTGGAGTTGGACTAGGATCATCTCTTGTGATTTTGGTGCAGATCTGATTATTAATGAGGAAATGAGAGCCAATCGTATTTTCATGGCGAAATGCCTCACATGGCGCCACGGCAACACCATTTGACTAAAGCTCTCTGTGCCTTAAATGAAGTTAGGACAACATGTTGTCTGTCTGCTGACACTGTTTTAAGTTGATGAGGTCAAGTAGGACTGAGAGGGACCATTCTAAGTAAAAAAAGTGACTACCGGTTCTCAGAGGGCGTGGCTTCAATCATTCAAAATTTTACTTTACAGTTTTGTTGGGAACCCAGACAGGATTAACACTACCAAGTTTGGTGTCATTTCAGTTTCATATGTAAAACAAAACACTTTTTTAACAATGATTGAAAAATGAACAGTTAAAAAACTCAGGTCATCGGGACATCATTATAATAGCAGCCAGTGGCGCAAAAACTGGGTATGCAAGCATGCAACGCATAGGGGTGCTGTACTCGAGGGAGCGTCAAAAAAACCCTCTAGGAAATAATTTTTTCTAGTTGTCATTTTCTATATTTAATAGCATAAAACGATCAATAACAGAGAGACAGCACTGATAATGTGCCCCTCTGATGCGCTCCCACTGATTATGCGCTCCCTTCACCTCCCCTCCTGTCGCTCTCCCTTCCCACACAGGTGGCTTGTGCACGCACCCCTAAGAGGTCACTTTTTTTTTTTTTATCTTCGACTACCACTCGCAGTGCATACTCAACAGCAAGATGGAGCGCCAGAAAAACTATCCGGGGCGCAAAACAGAAAAAGAAAAAGGGAGAAGGATAAAGTTGTTGGCGGGATGAAAAAAAGCCTTTCAATGTCGTTGAAAGACAGTAGGTAAGTTCTGTCAGTGTATCGACAACAGGACAGGAAGGTTGTAAATATTCAGGTTAGATAAAGCTAGCCTAATACGGATTCATCCCATATTTGGCTGTTAAATGTTGCGTCCCCTATTGAAGTGATAAGGAATGCGATTTGTTCCGTATTTCTAGGAATATCTGATATATACGCCTGTAACACACACATATCCACACACTAAGTGTAAGAATGACCGAAATAAAACTTGTGAAATATTAACACAGGAAAGCTAAAATGTCGTGGCCAGTGCCCAGCTATGCTCCAATGCTTAGCTGCAATGTATTCACTCATATGTACATTTCTTTTTATTGATTTTTTTTTATTAAAGATGAGTTGTACAAGTTTATGTGTGTATCAGACACTTTAATCCAGTGTCATTATAGCCCTTAGACTCAAGAAGGTCGGTGACCCATGTTTCCAACCTTTTTGGCAGGGGGGCACTTGAGTTTAAATGTTTTATTCAGTATAACTACAGTGGTGTTGTGATGTATCTGATAAGTCAGATCAGATGAAGTGTCCAGTCAGTAACTGTTATCCAACAAGATCATTAAAATTTTAAGATTAATTTTTATTGTAGTTTGACTGCTGTATTTTTTAACCCTACTTAACATAAAATTAATTTATTTCAGCTGTGAGGATGGAGGGAAAGAAGAGAAGATGACAGAGGAAGAATCAGGACAGACAGGGGAAAGCAACAGGTTGGTCTAATATTAGGTGGAAGTGAGGGGACAGCTACTTAATCCCAATTGATAATGTTTAAACATTATTTTTAAAAACTGTATTAAGATCTGTAATTTTTACAGCTAATATATAATGCTTTTTGACCATATCACTTAGTGGAGAACGATGATTAAGATGATTAAGAGGGAGAGGAGCAGAGAGCTGAAGAGGAGAATGCTGAGACAAGGCTTTATTCAGAAGATCCATCGGATTGGCCTTTACCACACAAAATTGGGGACATATTTAGGCAGTGCATGGTTGAAAATGGCCCACCGAAAGTTTCTGATGGCCCATACCCAAGAGCAGAGAAGAGTAAGAGGGGTTTTTCCAAAGGAAGGGGGCGCCGATTATGTGTTTTCGCTTCCACTTCAAAAATATGTAGTTGCACCCCTGATAGCAGCTTGTTATATTTTAGCTCTCCTGGGTCAGAAATGGTGCACAACACATTATTAAAACCCCACAGTTGTAAAAAACCCTTTAAATCCCCAGTGGCTCTGTTGAAGCAAAACTCCAGCCTCAACCTGGCTTTGATGTTACATTTCCACAGAGCCACCGCATCGAGGTGAGGTCCTTCCTGCAGTTTGTCTCTTCATGTTAAGTAAATAGCCATTTTGGCTTCAGAGATTAAATAATTTAAAATTCTGGATTTTAAGGCAGTGGCTCGGTTATAATGTACACCATTGATAAAAACGGATTGGTTAAAAACCACACTAAAAAGTCTAAAAACATTTATTAAAAAATTGAAAAAACTAGTCAGTCGTACACAATCCATAAAAACGTGAAACAAACTCTCAGGCAAACTGCAAAGAGGACATTTGTTTAAAACCTCAGGACTGATGACAGATAAAAATGAGTTTGAAGCAATGGCGCCATGAAGTATCCTCCATTGAAGGTCACCAGTCCGTTTCTTGATGGGAGGCTTGTACAGAGTCCTCCACTGAGGTTTTTTTTCCTCTGAACTCCAGATGCTTGTTGCCCTGTTATGGAGAGTTCTCCTGTTTAGGTCTTTAGTGCAAGTTCTGTATAATGTTTTTGGGTCCGTCTTGCACAGATCCATCCTTTGATTTTGTAGTAGGGGTCTGCTGTCCTCCTCAAAGTCTGGATCCATGTACACGTCCTGGAACGGGTCACTCGTGTCAGGCGGGCGCTTTCCGGTGACGTGCAGATGCATGAGCCGTCTCTCCCTAGCAGTCATCCGCTCTTTCAGACGCTCCAGAAAGCGCTGCGCCAGTCTGGCGGACCGGACCCCCAGCAGCAAGCGGACCTCCTCGACACCTGAGAAATCCGGTCCGGCAATCTGGACCAGATGCCTCATGGTGACCGCTCCCGACCTGGACAGCGTCTCGGGAAGGCCAGGCACGGAGCTGTCGTGCACGTCCAGCCTCGCTCCACACACCAACGGTTCTTCTAAAAGCCAATGCAGAGAGTTATGCGTTTTGGACCTGTGCAAATAAAAAAAAAACAACATGATTTAAAAACACTTCGATAAAATTGAGGCAACCCTCTTATCTTTAAGAGACTTAAGACTGTTAAAAACAGAGCAGCATCCAGCCCCAGAGAGTTTACACGTCTCATGCAGCTGGCCACATATCTCCACACGGGGTCTTCTGTCAGGAACTTCTGAAGGAACTGTAAACGAAAAGTGGCTGTTCTAGCGGCCAGGTGGACAAGGCCCTGGCCCCCCTCCTCTCTTGGTAAAAACAAGACAGACTGTGGCAGCCAATGTCGACCGCTCCAGAAAAAATTAACCATCTCTGACTGTATTTTTACAAGAAGGTCAGAGGGTGGGTCTAAAACGGAGAGTTTGTGCCACGGCTGTGACATCTGGGAGTGCAACCACTTCCATTTTGTAAACCTGTTTTTAATTTTCCTTCCACTTCCTCCCACTTTAAAATTGCTTCACTGCCTAAAAACACACCAAGGTACTTAAAACCGTCCCTCTTCCACACCAGACCTCGAGGGAGAACTGGGAGCCTGACAGACCACTCTCCGACGGCCAGGGCTTCGCTCTTAGCCCAGTTCACCCTCGCGGCGGACAAGACGGAAAACTTTGCAGTTACCTCAGTTAAAAGGCTGATGTCCTGTTGATCTTCAATAAAAACAACATCGTCAACGTAGGCAGATAAAACCATATTATTAGTAAAACCGGGTAAAACCAGACATCAAGTTCCCCCGCAGCAGCAGCGGGTTCCCCCGCAGCAGCAGCGGTTCCCCCACAGCAGCAGCGGTTCCCCTGCAGCAGCAGCGGGTTCCCCCACAGCAGCAGCGGGTTCCCCCGCAGCAGCAGCGGTTCCCCCGCAGCAGCAGCGGTTCCCCCGCAGCAGCAGCGGTTCCCCCGCAGCAGCAGCGGGCTCCTCCGCTGCAGCAGCAGCGGGTTCCCCCGCAGCAGCAGCGGGTTCCCCTGCAGCAGCAGCGGCGGGTTCCCTCGCAGCAGCAGCCACACTAGGCAGGGGCCCCATCTGCTCAGCAGCGGCGGGCCTCCGGCCGGCCCCATCAGGGCACACTTTAATAACATGTCCCTCCTGTCCACAACCAAAGCACTTCATGTTAGAGGAGGTTGCAAAAAGCATGTAGTCAAATCCATCCAGTCTAACATGAAAGCGCAGGTTGAGTTCCTCATCACCTTCGTTCAATATCTTGAACAGTTGCCTCCTATGGGAGACAACATGTTTCAAGAGAGGTCATTTACACCCCGACATCACCGTTTTAATGGGTGAAACCACCTTACCGAGTCGAGACAGTTGTTTTATCAGGAACTCATCACTGATGAACGAAGGGACGTTTGACAGAGTGACTCTGGTTGCAGGCAGTGTCAATGGGGAAACTTGCAGAAACAACCCATTGACAGAGATGCCTGCTTCCACCAGCCGCTGAGCCTGCTCCACTTTCTCCACAAACAAGACAACAGCTCCACTCATGCGAGCTGCCGACTTAATGGACCGATGTCCAATAACCTCCCCCACAGCCAGACACACTTCCTCCACGCTGCACGGAGAACCGGCACCCATCTTGATGCCGTTCCTCCGTGCCAGCGTGGAGAAACCTCCAGCACTCCCCACCACCACCATGGTGTGCAGAAATGCCGACTGCCGCCGGGCAGAACACGATGGCCCCACAACCCACAAACACCACCTACAACTATTAAACAACAAAAAACAAAATTATATACACAATACTTACATACACCCAGTGAAAAAAGGATAGAAAAAGTAACAAAAACCATTCAAATAGTTTCCTCACGTTCTCTCTCTTCCGCTTCTCCACTCACACTCCTCCCACAAGAAGAACAATAACAAACATTACAGATACAATAGGCCTTCGCAGCGATTAGCTGTTCGGGCCTAATAATAATAATTAAATCCGCAAGCGGTATTGACGGCCCTCGCAGCTGAGCGCCGTTCAGCCTATTGCGACCACGGGAGCCAAGTGACCGCCGCCCCCTTGCTCCTTCCCAGCCAGCGGAAAAAGCTCCACGCTTCTCCTCTGGACCAGCCGGAGACGACCACAGCTTTTGTCAGGAAGGGTTAAACTAGGGATTAAAGATAATATCTGTGATGAATCACATCTTTCAGACAGACGCTGCTCCCATCTCAGTTGGTGGATCAAAAGTATATATTCAATAGAGGGAGAAACAGCACCCCCAAAATCCACTGTTAGCGGTATTACACCCTACTCAAAACTATAAAAAAATCATTAAAAATCCATAGTTTTCAGTGAAATCCCCCAAAAAGTTACACATCGAAGAATACATCCTGCATATTGTGGAATTTTTTTTAGATAATTTACTAAAAAAGTTCAAAGAAAGAAAAATCTTTACACTGGAATGCCAAATACTGAGGCAGTTGAATACCCCATAAGATGCTCAAACATGCATAGATTCACGCAAAACTTGGCAATCTTTACTATAATCAAAGGATAAATAACTGTTCCAAATTTGGCTATAAAACTTTTTGAAAAACAACAATTTCCTGTTAACACAAACTTTTGAAAAATCAGAGTGACGGACTTTTAAGAAGAGCTATGCTGATTTTACCATCAAACATGTAGCTGTGAAAGGAATATATTCCAAAAGTCCTAGCTCTTTTGGGAAAACGACTGATTTTTTAGAAATTTTTTTAATATAGTGATTTTCATCAGGATGCTGTTTGATTCAAAATGGCCGACTTCATGAGAGGTTTAGACCATGGCTCCAATATAACTTTTTGTAGGTGGGGGGCTCATACAGATGTATGCCAAATTTGGCAAAAGTTGCTCAGGCCTAATAATAAACGATACAGAAACAATAGGCCTTCGCAGTGCTGTCGCTGCCCTGGCGTAATAATTAGGCCCAAGCAGCGAAGCGCTGCGAAGGCCTATTGTATCTGTTAGGATTACAATAGGCCTTGGGGGAAACCGTAAGTCACAGAGATTTTAAATTTGGCACACAGGTAGATGGAGGTATGCCCTAAATCCCACAGGAAGTCGACCATTTTGGGTCAAAGTGCAATTTTTGGCCATTTTTCATTTTCGCTCATGTCGAACTTTAACAAACTCGTCCTAGGGATTATGAGCTATCGGCTTCAAACTCAGTCATTATGCAGTTAAGGTATTGGAGATTAAAAGTTATCAAAGGTTTTCATTTTTGAGCATGTTTAAGGGGTCCCCAGGGGCCCCGAAGTTAGGGTACTTTTGAAGAAATTTAATGAGGAATAACTTTTACAAAAAAAATTAAAATCGACCAAGTTTGGCAGTAATGAGCCCCTTTGGGTGCTTGAACATACTGGATGGTCAAATGATGACATCATCTAAGCCCGACCCCCTGAGGGAAGAAAGTCACGTTTTTCACTTGGGAGGGTCCCTTTAATTCATTTTAAACATCAGCACCTTGAAACTAGGTCAGAAGACAGAAAACATGTTGGTCTAACTTTGTTTAAAGCACAGAGTGTGAGATTTAAATGGCATTGCCATGGTGACCTGGCAAAGTTAGGTGGTTCGCCGTGACTAAAACGACCAGCCCTAAGCCATACAATTACTTAGGGTTATGAAAGTTGGGACACATATTAAACCAACCAGGACCTAAAAAAAAGCCTATTGGAGCCATAGTCTAAACCCCACAGAAAGTCGGCCATTTTAGATTGAATTTCACATTTTCACTATAATTTTGCACTTTATAGCCTCTATATTTGAACGAACTCCTCCTACAGCTTTTGAGTTACATACTTCAAACAATGTCCACCTTTATCTGAGGCATTAGGGATCAAAAGTTATCAAAGGAATTTTTCTACATCAAAGCATGTGGGCGTGGCCAAGCGTCAAACTTGGTCATTAGGCAGGGAAACAAAGGGTAAGCCCCGTGCCATGTTATGACTGAGAGTTCTGAAACTTGGACCACTTATGTAACCCCTCAGGACCTACAAAAAACCCTTTTGTAGCCATGGTCCAAACACCACAGGAAGTCGGCCATTTTGAATGAAAGAAATCCCTTTGCTTTTTTACCTTCATGACCTATTTGAGCGAACTCCTCCTAGAGCTTTTGAGTTACAGACTTCAAACCTACTCCACCTTGAGCTGAGGTACAGGGGATCAAAAGCTTTCAAAGTAATTTTTCTACATCAAAGCATGTGGGCGTGGCCAACCGTTAAATGTGGTCCCTTTGCCGTTAAACACAATGCACGTCCCAGGCCATTTTTTAGTGAGAGTTATGAAATTTGGTACACATGTGTAACCCATCAGGACCTACAAAAAGTTGTATCGGAGCCATGGTCCAAACCCCAATGGAAGTCCGCCATTTTGAATCAAAGCCATCATTAGCTTTTTCGCCTTTATATTGTATGTTAGCCAACTCCTCTGTGAGCAGTTGAGCTACAAACTTCTAACTTGCTGAGCCTAGACTTAAGACATAAGGGATAAAAAGTTATCAAAAGATTTTTGCTGTAACAAAGCATGTGGGCATGGCCAAGCATCAAAATCAGACTTCTTGCCATAACAGTATGACAAAACTGCTGCTAGGCCCTGCTTTGATTAAGGATATTACATTTGGTACACATGTATAACCCAACATGACGCACAAAAAAGTCATTGGAGCCATGGTCTAAACCCAACAGGAATTCAGCCCTTTTCTTTTTTTTTTGTTGGTTTTTTGAGTTAGAGACTTCAAATACACTTTGCATGGACTATAGACATAGCACAGAGGTGTGAAACTGGTTCCAGAAAGGGCAGTGTGGTTGCAGGTTTTCTTTCCAACCAAGCAATAGCTCACCAGACTCCAGTCATCTCATCTAGTCATCGTGTTTAGATTGGATTCCCTTGATGAGATGTTTGGAGGGACAGACTGAAACAAAATGACCAGCCTCGCCACAGTAGAGACAAAGCTTAGCCCACATACGGTGCTGCTTCTGCTCAGGACTAAGTCTCATGCTTCCTATCTGCATGGGTTCAGGAGCGGAAGGACTGGAAAAGGCCTCTGCTAAAGCTGAGTGGTTGGAAACAGGAAGAGGTTTGGGATGTGTGGTTCTATTACCTCTCTCCTTAGCTCGGCCTTTAATCTGGTTATCCAATTGGATCGATAGCTTTATGAGGTCCTACAGCATCTCTGGATCATCGAGAGTCATGAATTCATCCTTAATAGGATCATTTAAGGTGTTAGAACAAACACATTTGAGGGCTGCGCTATTCCACCCTGAAGCCGCAGCCTTAATGCGGAAATCTATAGAGATATCAGATACTGACTTCTGTCCCTGTTTAAGCTTCAACAGGTCTCCAGAGTCTTATCTGGGTCCTTTTTAATGGTCTGCTTAAACTCAGATAGAAACTCCTCAAAGGTGCAACCATAATCAGGAGTAGAAAATCTCACCTCTGCCCACTCCAAAGCTTTGTCTGTCAGATGGGAGATTATATAAGAAATCTTAGAAGAAACCAAAAAAAACTTACTGGGAGCATGGTTGAACTGGATTATACAGTGCATGAGGAAACCCCGGCACTTCTTGGGGTCCCCATCGATCCTGGGCAGACTGGACAGCTGGCACTCAGAAAAAGAGGAAAAAAACAGGAGTTTAAGTTGCTTGAGGTGGGGCAAACTTGCCGGCCGGGCCGGGAGCCTGGAGAGAAGTGAAACAAATAGCTTTGGTTAAATTAAACACTCGTCTGTTTAACTTGGTCTGCTGGTTGACCAATTCAACGAGGGTGTTGTCCTGTTTATGAATAGCAGTTTGTTGTTGATGGAGTGCTCTCTGAATGGCCTCTCCTGGGCTTTCGGTTTGGCCAGAGTGCTCTGTCCTGATGGATTTTAAAGATCTCAAGCACATGCAGAGATTCAATCAGAGAGCCACGGGAAAAGTTAACAGGTTGATTGAGAGGTTGACAAAAAACAGAGAGAGAGAGATTATATGCAGGGTCATCGCAGCGGGACTTCAGTGGTCTGGTGAACCAGAACCGGAAACTGTTAGGGGAGAACACAAAGATCAGTTCAAGGTCCGTAGGGAAAATGACTGAGACTGGTGAATAGCTGGAGAAGAATCATGTTAGGGAGATTCTTGGTTTCCCTTGGGTCCAGTTTGTGGGGGGTTTAAACCAGAGATGAATGAACCCGATGGAGGGTGGACAAGCAGACTTGCATTGGGTCCAGAGGAGCAATGGAACAGGCTGTCAGCAGGTTTCCTGAAGTGGGCTCTAACAGATCTGGTGGAGGCTTCCTCTTGCTCAGTGAGTCTCAAATAATTCTTTGCAAGGGGGGTAGAAAGACCATGGACTATTGAAACATCTGTGATATTTACTTCACTGTATCAAATCTCTTGTAAGATCATATAACCATTAAATATATTTCTTATATTTCCCGGGAAAAAAGGAATTAAGAAGAACTGAGGTCAGTCAAATAAAAGTAATGTTGTCACAATCTGAAAGAAAACATTACAGTTATTATAACAATTGAATATCATTATCATTACCATTTATTATAACCTCACAGAGTCTCAATTCACTCATTACTTTCTGAGATTGGACTCCAAATGTGCCGTACTAAAGGCAGTTTTTTATGTATTTTTCACAAAATTGCGTCTTTTGAAAAACACTTCCATCAAGTGAAGTGTTTTTTTCATAGTTGATTTCCACGTGACCAAATCACATGGATATGAACTAAAATGTTGAGGAGGATGTGGGGTACTTCGTATTATCCCAGGGTCCAAGGATCCAGTTTTCATTTCATAGACACACTGCTAAGTTGGACCTTTGTCAGACAGAATTCCTGGTAAATGTATGGTGTATAATATAAAAGTTATTTTACACAGATTTTGTCGGGGCTGGGTTGCAATATACGTGCACATTGATGATTTCCAAATATGTATTCTTCATTGTTCAGGTATGAGCATAAACAGAAAGAAGATGAACTAGAACCACTTAATAGAAGGTATTGTTCACACAACAAGATAATTTACTGTCTGATGGTTGTTCAAAATTTTCAGTTCTTCTTTTCTAAATAGATTAATTCTTTCTAATTTGTGCTAGAAAACATGTAAACGGCACTACATGCCATAATGTTCCTGCAATATTTGTCTTATAAGAAGTTTTTATTTGTTGTATTTTGCAACAGACTGACCCAGGTGACATTTCGCTTCCCATCCAGGAATTCTAATTCCATTCCCAAATCTTTGCCACGTACAGAATAAAGATAATAACTGGATATCCTGGTTATCTACTCTCACTACCACCTAGAGGCCTCCTTAATGTGACTGTTCATTGTGGATAAGCCATCCATTAAAATTCAGCGATAGTTTAGTTACAGTAGAGGATGTCACAGGACAGACCAGGTCATTCTCCATTAGAAAACCCTTGCTTATCTAAAAGATAGGAAAAACCGGGTTGACCCCATGGAAATCCCACTCTCTGCCACACTGAGCAGGAAGACGCTTTTTTTATCTGATAATTATCATTACCAACTAATTTAACCTCTTAACATCCACCTCATTTAGGGTAAGCCTCTCCTATTTTGCATACCCAAATGGAATATAAAACTTGTGAACGGCACTACATGCCATAATGTTCCTGCAATATTTGTCTTATGAGAAGTTTTTATTTGTTGTATTTTGCAGCAGATTAACCCAGATGAAAACATCCCATGAAAAGGAGCTTGAAGAGATGAGGTTAGTATTGCTGTGCATCTGTGTTTTACATGAGACATCTATTTTGTTTATTTATATTTATGTAATACATACATACATTAAATTAATTTATTTACTTTAACTGACTTCTATCTTCAGTCCTACACATCCTTATAAATAATGACAAATAATGTCATGTGTGAAAATGCCTGAGCAGTGTACAATTATGCAGGCACACTGCTTAGAGGGATTATTATTAATGAGTAATTACTTCAAACATAATTCCAGTTCCCTAAATTTCCTATGGATTTCTGTTAAAATAATTATTAATCATTTGTTTCTAAAAATGTTTAAATGTTTAACTTATCCTTTGCCTGCCTGCTTTAGAACAAAAAGGAAAAAAATAATTAAATTAGCCAATCAAATGTAATTCTACCAAACTGGAATACAACATGAAAATTTCAACTTTTTCGATTCTTATTTTCTTATTTCATGCAATTGTTCTAAATTGTATTGTATTTTACTACAGATTGAGGTATTTCTCTCTAGTTGTTTACAGATGAGACAGTAATTAAAGTTTTTTTTTTTTTTCCTGATCATGGACTATTGAAACATCTGTGATATTTACTTCACTGTATCAAATCTCTTGTAAGATCATATAACCATTAAATATGTTTCTCATATTTTCCTTTTAAAACAGGAAAAAAGAAGAACTGAGGTTAGTCAAACAAAAGTAATGTTGTCACAATCTAAAAGAAAACATTACAGTTATTATAACAATTGAATATCATTATCTTTACCACTTATTATAACCTAATAGAGTCTCAATTCACTCATTACTTTCTGAGATTGGACTCCAAATGTGCCGTAGTAAAGGCTATTTTTAATGTATTTTCCACAAAATTGCCGGTCTTGAAAAAACACTTCCATCAAGTGAAGTGTTTTTTTCATAGTTGATTTTCATGTGACCAAATCACATGGATATGAACTGAAATGTTGAGGAGGATGTGGGGTACTTCCTAAATCCCAGGGTCCAAGGATCCAGTTTCAATTGGATAGACACACTGCTAAGGTGGACCTTTGTCAGACAGAATTCCTGGTAAATGTATGGTGTATAAAATAAAAGTTATTTTACCCAGATTTTGTTGGGACTGGGTTGCAATATACATGCACATTGATGATTTCCAAATATGAATTCTTCATTGTTCAGGTCTGAGCTTAAACAGAAAGAAGATGAACTAGAATCACTTAATAAAAGGTATTGTTTACACAATAAGATAATTTACTGTCTGATGGTTGTTCAAACTTTTTCGATTCTTATTTTCTAAATTGATTAATTCTTTCTTATTTGTGCTAGAAAACTTGTGAACGTCACCACATGCCATAAAGTTCCTGCAATATTTGTCTTATGAGAAGTTTTTATTTGTTGTATTTTGCAACAGATTGACCCAGATGAAAACATCCCATGAAAAGGAGCTCCAGGAGATGAGGTTTGTGTTGTTGTGCATCTGTGTTTTACATGAGACAATTATTCAGTTAATTGTTTATTTAAGATTATTATAACTCACATGAAATAAAAAAAAAAAACAATACAGGCCCCAATAGTCAACAATAAATGTAAACCTTAGTTAAATAACAACATGGTTTATTTTGCTCTCTACAGAACTAATTTCAGAAAGAAAGAGGAGGAACTTCAGAGAAGGTAAAAAAATCTAACAGTTTACATGGTCATATTGATTTTCCAGATAAATTATCCATTTGTTGGTTGTTAAATTTTACTGTATTTGACTTAGGATCATTCACCTATATAACTTTTAAATTACTGTTTATATTTCTAAGTGTTTACCTAAAAAAGAGTTTAAAAAAAGAAAATTAATTAAAGCCGCAAGCGGCATTGCGCGGCCCTTGCAGCTCGCACCACCTGGTATGTAGCGACCACGGGAACCAAGCGACCGCCGCCTCCACGCTTATTCCCAGCCTATGCTCCGGCTCTTCAGCCTATGCCTGCTGCTGCTTGGCCGACTTCCTGTTGGGTTTGGACCATGGCTCCGATTGACTTTTTTGTGCATCCTGTTGGGTTGTACATGTGTACCAAATTTAGTAATCCTCAATAAAAGCAGGGCCTGCTGCAGTTTTGTCATACTGTTATGGCGAGAAGTATGATTTTGATGCTTGGCCACGCCCACATGGTTTGTCACAGCAAAAATCTTTTGATAACTTTTGACCCCTTATGTCTTAAGTCGAGGCTCAGCAAGTTAGAAGTTTGCAGCTCAATCGCTCAAGGAGGAGTTAGCTAAAATACAATATAAAGATGAAAAAGCTAATGATGGCTTCAATTCAAAATGGCGGACTTCCTGTGGGGTTTGGACCATGGCTCCAATACAACTATTTGTAGGTCGTGATGGGTTACATATGTGTACCAAATTTTATAACTCTCATTAAAAAAATGGCCTGGGGCTTGCATTGTGTTTTATAGCAAAGGGACCACATTTGACGCTTGGCCACGCCCACATGCTTTGATGTAGAAAATTTCCTGTGATAACCTTTGATCCCCTGTACCTCAGCTCCAGGTGGAGTAAGTTTGAACTCTGTAACTCAAAAGCTCTAGGAGGAGTTCGCTCAAATAGGTCACAAAGGTAAAAAAGCAAAGGGATTTCTTTGATTCAAAATGGCTGACTTCCTGTGGGATTTGGAACATGGCTCCCAGAGGCTTTTTTGTAGGTTCTGAGGGGCTACATGAGTGGTCCAAGTTTCACATCTCTCAGTCATAACATGGCATGGGGCTTACCCTTTGTTTCCCTGCCTAATGACCAAGTTTGGCGCTTGGCCACGCCCACATGCTTTGATGTAGAAGAATTCCTTTGATAACTTTTGATCCCCAATGTCTCAAGTCATTGTACAGTGAATATAAAGTCTGTAACTCAAAAGCTCTAGAAGGAGTTTGCTCAGATAAGTCACAAAGGTAAAAATGCAAAGGGATATATTTTATTCAAAATGGCCGACTTCCTGTTGGGTTTGGACCATGAACCCAATAGGCTTTTTTGTAGGCCCTGAGGGGTTACATAAGTGGTCCAAGTTTCAGATCTCTCAGTCATAACATGGCTGGGGGCTTACCATTTGTTTCATTGCCAAATGACCAACTTTGAAGCTTGGCCACGCCCACATGCTTTGATGTAGAAAAATTCCTTTGATAACTTTTGATCCGCAATGTCTCAAGTCATTATACAGTGAATATAAAGTCTGTAACTCAAAAGCTCTAGGAGGAGTTCGCTCAAATAGGTCACAAAGGTAAAAAAGCAAAGTGATTGTTTTGATTCAAAATGGCCGACTTCCTGTGTGATTTGGACCATGGCCCCAAGAGACTTTTTTGTAGGTCCTGAGGGGTTACATAAGTGGTCCAAGTTTCAGAACTCTCAGTCATAACATGGCACGGGGCTTACCCTTTGTTTCCCTGCCTAATGACCAAGTTTGACGCTTGGCCACGCCCACATGCTTTGATGTAGAAAAATTCCTTTGATAACTTTTAATCCCCAATGCCTCAAGTCAAGTTGGAGTTAGTTTGAAGCCTGTGACTCAAAAGCTGTAGGAGGAGTTCGTTCAAATATAGAGGCTATAAAGTGCAAAATTACGGTGAAAATTTGAACTTCAATCCAAAATGGCCGACTTCCTGTGGGGTTTAGACCATGGGTCCAAGAGGCTTTTTTGTAGGTCCTGGGGTGTTTAACAGGTGTGCCAACTTTCATAATCCTAAGTCATTGCATGGCTTGGGGCTGGTCGTTTTAGTTTTTCTAGGGGGCGCTGTATAGAAAGTAAGCCACGCCCATCGATTATTGGCCTAGATTCTTGTGTGGGCTTGGATCAAGTTCCATCCTAGTGACTTTGGTGCAGATTGAAGGATCTATGAGGAGATGAGAGCCAAAAGTATGGTCACGGCAAAACGCCTGACTTTGCCAGGTCACCATGGCAACACCATTTAACTCAAAATCTTTGTGCTTTAAACGAAGTTAGACCAACATGTTTTCTATCATCTGACAAAGTTTCAAGGTGCTGGTGTTTAAAATGACTGAAAGGGACCCTCCCAAGTGAAAAAAGTAACTTTCTTCCCTTAGGGGGCGGGGCTTAGATGATGTCATCATTTGACCATCCAGTATGGTCAAGCACCCAAAGGGGCTCCTTACTGCCAAACTTGGTTTGATTTGAATTTTTTTTGTAAAAGTTATTCAACTTTGAAATTCTTCAAAAGTAGCCTAACTTTGGGGCCCCTGGGGACCCCTTAAACATGCTCAAAAACGAAAACCTTTGATAACTTTTAATCTCCAATGCCTTAACTGCATAATGACCGAGTTTGAAGCCGATAGCTCATTATCCCTAGGAGGAGTTCGTTAAAGTTCGACATGAGCGAAAATGAAAAATGGCCAAAAATCGCACTTTGACCCAAAATGGCTGACTTCCTGTGGGTTTTAGGGCATACCTCCAAGAGACTTTTTTTCATGATTTGAGGAGATCTACCTGTGTGCCAAATTTCAGATCTCTGGGACTTACAGTTTCCCCCAACTCACGTTAGGGGGCGCTGTGGCGTAATTTGGGGGCGGCCATTTTGGATTCCATTATAGACCGGCTATTTCACGCGGGGGACAATTTACTGCCACGTTTTCCTGAGTTTTTGAATATGCGAAGTCCCCGTAAAATGCGTTCGAAATGAGAAAAAAATTATTAAAACCGCGAGCCGTATTGACGGCCCTCGCACCTCAGCGCCGCTCGGCCTATTGCGATCGCGGGAGGCGAGCAACCGCTGCCCCCTTGCTCCGTTCCAGCCAGCGGAAAAAGCTTCACGCTTCACCTCTGGACCAGCCGGAGACAACCACAGCGTTGGTCAGGAAAGGGTTAAACTAGGGATAAAAGTTAATATCTGGGGATGAATCTCATCTGTCAGATAGATGCTGTGGCCATCTCAGTTAATGTGTCAAAAGTATATATTCAAAAGATGGAGTAACAGCACCGCCAAAATCCAAGGCGGTACTACACCCTACTCAAAACAAAAAAAAAAATCATTAAAAATCCATAGTTTGCAATAAAATCCCGAAAAAAATCGCAAATGTCAAGGAACACATCTTGCATGTCCTAGATTTTTTTTAGATGATTTACTAAATAATTCAGAGAAAGAAAAATCTTTAAACTTAAATGCCATATACTGCGGCAGTTGAAAACCCCATAAGATGCTCAAACATGCTTAGATTCACGCCAAGCGTGGCAATCTTAACCAAAATGAAAGGATAAATAACTGTTCCAAATTTTGGTAGGATTGCTATAAAACCTTTTGAAATACAACAATTACCTGTTAACACAAACTTTTGAAAAATCAGAGTGACGGACTTTTAAGAAGAGCTACGTATGCTGTGTTTACCATCAAACCATTAGCGATTAGAGGAAAATATTCCAAAAGTCCTAGCTTTTTTTAAGCAATTGACTTATTTTTAAGAAATATTTTAACATAGTGATTCTATTTTCATAAGGGTGCCGTTTGATTCAAAATGGCCGACTTCATGAGAGGTTTAGACCATGGCACCAATGAAACGTTTCGTAGGTGGGGGGCTCATACAGATGTGTGCCAAATTTCATTAACCTAGGAACGAGCATGGCTAGGGGATGAATTATTTCCTGGCATTATCTTTCCACTTGGCCAACTATTAGGCGAGAACACAAACTTTTGAAAAATCAGAGTGATGGACTTTAAAGAAGGGCTTTGCTATTGTAACCAACTTACAGCAGGCTTTGTAATGAACGTATTTTGAAAGTTTTAACTCATTTGGTTAAAAGGGTGATTTTATAAAATTTTTTGAAAAGAGGTCCGTGATTTCACAACAGGGTAAAATGTAATTCAAAATGGCCGACTTCCGGTGGGGTTTAGACCATGGCTCCAAGAGGCTTTTAGTTAGGGACTAATGAGATACAAATGTGTTCAAAGTTTCAACATTCTTGGACTAAAAACGGCTTGGGGCTGGTGGTTTGAAGTTTGTTATTTCTAGGGGGCGCTGTGGTGAAATTAAGTCCCGCCCACAAGGAAATATCGCCCTTGCAATATACATGCACATTGATGATTTCCAAATATGAATTCTTCATTGTTCAGGTATGAGCTTAAACAAAAAGATGAACTAGAATCACTTAATAAAAGGTATTGTTTACACAACAAGATAATTTACTGTCTGATGGTTGTTCAAACTTTTTCGATTCTTATTTTCGAAATTGATTAATTCTTTCTTATTTGTGCTAGAAAACTTATGAATGGCACTACATGCCATAATGTTCCTGCAATATTTGTCTTATGAGAAGTTTTTATTTGTTGTATTTTGCAACAGATTGACCCAGATGAAAACATCCCATGAAAAGGAGCTCCAGGAGATGAGGTTCGTGTTGTTGTGCATCTGTGTTTTACATGAGACAATTATTCAGTTCATTGTTTATTTAAGATTATTATAACTCACATGAAATAAAAAAAAACAATACAGGCCCCAATAGTCAACAATAAATGTAAACCTTAGTTAAATAGCAACATGGTTTATTTTGCTCTCTACAGAACTAATTTCAGAAAGAAAGAGGAGGAACTTCAGAGAAGGTAAAAAAATCTAACAGTTTACATGGTCATATTGATTTTCCAGATAAATTATCCATTTGTTGGTTGTTAAATTTTACTGTATTTGACTTAGGATCATTCACCTATATAACTTTTAAATTACTGTTTATATTTCTAAGTGTTTACCTAAAAAAGAGTTTAAAAAAAAGAAAATTAATTAAAGCTGCAAGCAGCATTGCGCGGCCCTTGCATACGGGATACAACAGTTTCTTCATCAGCTTTAACTTTTACAGCAGCAATTGTAGCTTTCTTTCTATCCTTCTTCTGTTGTATTTGGCTTGCCCTTTTTTTGCTTGCATAATCCACTTATTTAACTCTTCTAATTCTTTTCTGTATTTAGCTTGTTTTCTTTTTGATTTATACACCAACTTCATCTCCACCTTCTGCTGAATCTTTGTCAGCGGCTCAACTCTCAACTTTCCATCCCAGTCCTCCTTCTCAATCCCCTTTCTGGCAAACTCTGGGTCACCACCACAACACGCCACCATCCATCTAACATCACCTGGCATTTCCTTCTTACTACTACCTTGTCCCATTTTTAAAGAATTTAGTCCAGTACAAACACCTAGGGTATTCTACGCACTGGATTGTTTATTAAGCAGGACAGCACCCAAACACTGTTGTGGTAATTTCTGCTTCTATCTTTTCAGGTGAGAAATTCTTGCCTCTGCATCCACAAGAGTTTTACTGTATTAATTCCTGCTGTTTTAGTATGAAACAACAGAACACAGCGGTTCGATTGTTTCCTCACACACTTTCACACAATCACACACACCTATTCTAAGGCCTAATATTTTTTATTTTTTTACAACACAGAGTCCCAGACTTGAATGCACAGAATACCCAGATCCCAGACCTGTAAACAAAACTTGGTTTCGTCAAATATTCTTGCAACTACAACCAGTTATAGCTTGAACACAGAGGGTCCCAGACCCAAACGCACAGAATACCGATCCCAGATCTATCACAACAAACCCTGTTTGTCAAATATTCTAGCGACTACAACTAGTTATAGCTTTCACATGGTCCCAGACCAGCTTTTAATAAAAAACTTTAGGCGTACCGTTTCTGTGCAGATCAGTCCTCAGCTTGAGTCGTCACCAGGATGTCCAGGGCAGGGCTGGACCAACCTATTGGCTATGTCTGGCAAAGGGTGGACGGCTGTCGACAGTTTCTTGGCCTTGGTCCCGCACGGTCCCGGACAATTGGATCTTGACTCCCGGAGTTTCAGCACCAAAAGTGTTGGGTTTTAATCCAGAAAAATTAGAGTTTAAAAGATTAAAAGGAAATGATCAACACAGAGACAGGGTATTGTGACGTCAGCATGTGCCGGGTGGAGAGAAGATGCTGGCTCGAAAACCATCACCTTCTCACACAGATCCCTTCATGGCCAAGCCTTTTATTAACAGTTTACAACATCAAACAGGCAGGCCTGGGAGGATGTAGGTAACAAGATAGTGTGAATTGACCAACTGGTTGGATGGAAGTCACACAACCGTGTGATTCTGCCTCATGACCTACAGGAGGTCATAAAAGTTTATGACCCTTCTGGTTGAAACACAGGATAGTTATCACTCTAACAGCAGCGCTGTCGCTGCTCGGGCCTAATAATAAACGATACAGGAACAATAGGCCTTCGCAGCGCTTAGCTGCTCGGGCCTAATAATAAACGATACAGGAACAATAGGCCTTTGCAGCGCTGTCGCTGCTCAGGCCTAATTAAAACCGTAAGCGGTATTGACGGCCCTCGCAGCTTAGCGCTGCTCGGCCTATTGCAACCGCGGGAGCCAAGTGACTGCCGCCCCCTTGCTCCTTCCCAGCCAGCAGAAAAGGCGCCATGCTTCACCTCTGGACCAGCTGGAGAAAACCACAGCGTTTTTCAGGAAGGGTTAAACTAGGGATAAAAGATAATATCTGGGACTAATCTCATCTGTCAGATAGATGCTGCGGCCATCTCAGTTGGTTTGCTGTCATTTCAGTTTCATATGTAAAAGTTATTGCATTTTGAAAATGTTGGCGAGTACGCCAACTTCGAGGCCTGGCCACACCCCTTTAAAATGCTCAAAGTTTGATAAGTTTAGATCTCACATGCCTTATCTGCATACAAGCCAAGTTTGAAGCCGATGGCTCACCGTCCCTAGGAGGAGTTCGCGAAAGTTCGAGGTCAACAAAATTGAAAAAGTGCCAAAAATCTAGCCTGGGTGCCAGTCCGAACTTAGTCCCGCCCACAAAGTTTGAGGTCGGGGAAGTTCGGTCTGGCTCTGCTCCATAGTAGCGCGAGTATTATCGCCCACTGTCAGGCGATCCAATCAAATTGTCAGGGCGGGGTTTATACGATGATGGACAGATGACCAACAGTAACGTAATCAACCACGTGACCAATGCGCGCTTGGGTGACAACAATAATGGCTGCCGCTGGAGAGTTTAGGTGAGTAGATTCTGCTATTAGGTCTGTTCTAGAAGATATCGACAGCAAATTAATTTTAAAAGAGGAACAGAGAAACGCGATCAAGGCTCATCTTCTTATTCTAGGCGTGCAACTGCACGCTTTGATTTTTGTGGACAACAACTATGCGTCGCTAAACATACGTCACGCACTCCGTTGCTCTTATTGGTTGTAGGTCTATCCAATTGAGTGCAGAGGCATTTTTTTTCCTGGTTCGTTCGAAACACGCCCCATAATCACAGCTCTATGGAGCAGTATCAGACTCATATTCTGACTAGAATTGAGTCGGACTACGTCAGGCTACCAAAAATCGACCTTTGACCCAAAGTGGCCGACTTCCTGTAGGTTTTAGAGCATACCTACAATGTAACTTTTTTCATGATTTGGTGAGATCTATGGACCTGCCAAAACTCAAATCTCTGTGACTTACGGTTTTCCCCAACTCATGTTAGGGGCGCTCTAGAGAATTTGGCCATTTTGAATTCCATTATGAAACATAAATTTCACTAGGGGGAAATCTAGGGGGACTTGGCTTAGTGAGTTTGGTGAGTTTTTGGGCATGTTAAAGCCTCCAAAAAGCAGTTTCCTTTAAGCGGAGAAAAATAAGAAGAAAAAGAAAAAGAAGAAGAAGAAAAATAAACGGTACAGGAACAGTAGGCCTTCGCAGTGCTGTCGCTGCTCGGGCCTAATAAACGGTACAGGAACAACAGGCCTTTGCAGCGCTGTCGCTGCTCGGGCCTAATAAACGATACAGGAACAATAGGCCTTCGCAGCGCTGTCGCTGCTCGGGCCTAATTAGCAATTTTTACCGGGCCATTAAAATAGGTAAATTTTCACCAGGTCTGATGCGTCCGCAAAGTTTGGTGAGTTTTGGAATATGATAAAGCCTCCAAAAAGCCATTTTATTTGTAAGGAGAAAAATAATAATAATAATAATAATAATAATAATAATAATAATAATTACAGATACAATATTTTGCGCTGTTGCTGTCGCTGCTTGGGCCTTATAAACAATACAGGAACAATAGGCCTTCGCAGCGCTGTCACTGCTCGAGCGTAATAAGAAACAGTACAGCTTTCCATCCAGGAATTCTCATTCCATTCCCAAATCTTTGCCATGTACTGAATAAAGATGATAACTGGCTATCCTGGCTATTAATAGATGTCTCATGTTTTACATGAGACATCTATTCTATTTATTTATATTTATGTAATACATACATACATACATTAAATAAATTTATTTACTTTAACTGACTTCTATCTTCAGTCTTATATATTCTTTTAAATTATGACAAATATTGTCTTTATATAAAGACTGCAGGAAGCACCAGCTTTGAGATCCAGTCTCCAGCATTGTAAACCACAAGGATGTGAACATAAACAAAGGTTTGTATTTTTATTAATCATAAAAATACCACGAATAACCAGTGATTAGAACTGCTTATTTTAATAAGTTGTGTCTTTTTACCAGTTTGACACAATTGGAAATATTTTACAAAAAGAAGCTAAATGAGGCTCGGTAAGAAATGATTATTTTGTCATTTTGTACAGACAATAACAACCTATACCTATGCCTAACCTACTAGTTTGCTAATATTAGTTAAGTGTTTGATCATAAATGAACTTGTGTTGTTCCTCAAAGCTTTATTTTTCCCTCCATAGCTCTGCTGCCGCCCAAAAAGAAAAAGAATTTAAATCTCTCAAAGACAGGTACTGAACAGAGAACTGGTAAATTATATTTATTGACCTGCAGCATAAATAATCAGACTGTAACTGTTTGACAGACTGGCAGCACAGGTGGCCATTTCACTTAAAACAGGAAACACTGAGAGCATGAACGACCCGGTCAGTAAAACCCGACTGACTGAGATGTACGACAACCTGAAGCTGCTGCAGTGGCCGAATATCAAAGATCGGCTGAAGTCCAGGAAGATCGGGCCAAAGGAGGCCAAAGACCTGATCCAGGTGGAGTAAAGCTGCTGTCAGGAAGTTCACCTGCCTGACTAACACTGAGTGTCTCATGGGACTGATAATGAACTGACCTCTGTAGAGAACCTTTGGAGATGCAGCAGAAGAAATGAAGAGAAGGAAGCAGCAGATAGAGAAGATGTTCCAGGAGACCAGGTCCAGCAGTGGACCGATTCCTCAGAAGGTACCGGACTCTAGAGCAGATTCATTAAACAGCTGGAGGAGAGTGTGAGCAGCATGGTTCATGTGTTCCAGGTCAAAGAGTACAGACAGCTGACAGTTCAGAACCTGCAGATGGCGCTGTTCCACACCAGCAAAGAAGATCTTTTTAAGGTTTGTTTGCTGATGATCTTTGCTGATGATCTTTGCTGATGATCTTTGGAAACCAAACAGGATGTGGCGTCATTTTTAACTTGAATGGAGCAATCAGTGTTTAACATTAAATATTTCCTCCTCAGACTGGTTTCCTGGAACATGCAGGTCAGTTTCCAGGGGAAGTGAAGGAGGATCTCAGACTTCTGGCCTCTGAATGCTACTGGCTGGGCTGCTTGATGGCTTTAAACATTCCTCCTCTTCAGCCTGACTGGAAGAACCATGATCCTGGGTTTGAGTCCTGGGATATCTTTCCTCGAGACATCCAACCGTCTGACTTGTAGAGGAAGCAGATGCATCACTGCAGAGAACACATTCTGACATCATTTTATCATAACTAATTATTTTAACTTGTAGTTGTGTTCATTTTGGATTTTCTTTGGCTTTATATGTATCATAGTGACAGAATGAAGAAAAAATATATATTATAGGGATTATTTTAAGCTTAAAGCTGATCCTGCAGGGAAACATAACTTTTTTTTCCAGCCTGAAAAACACACCCACTCCAGAAAAACACAATAACAGAGATATACATCCTTTGTATCATTATGTGGTTAAACGTACTGCCTTGCAGGAAGAAGGTCTGAGCTCAGGATTTCACATCGTCTCCTGTTTTGTCCAGGTCAAAAACATGACTGTTAATGATGAATGAAAAATCCTCATGTCGTGGCAAAAGGTATTCAACTATTCCCCCAGTTAAATAAACTCAATGGATTTTACTCAGTCGGCACTTTATTTTATCTTTGTAAAGTGAGAACATTTCCTCTTACGGCCCTTATTGCATGGTTATCAGCCCTGTTCCGATCTGGGCAGCATTCGTTCCCCCTTAATTACAAAAACAGGAAGTAGTCAGAGTCAAAACAAATTACAGACACTTTGGTTAAACAGTAGCATGTTATGAATAAATCTTGAAAGAAAATTTGTAAATATATGTAAAGAAAACTAAGAACTGAGAAACTTAAATCAGTAACTTAAATCTTAAATCAGGAACCATATATATATATATATATATATATATATACATATATATATATATATATATATATATATATATGGACTGATGAACCAGGTAAGTGACTAACTGAGATCATCATCTTCTGTCAGATGATCATGGTCACTTACCTGTGTTTCTCCCACAGACTGTCAGAGATTGGGTAGTTTCTGTGTCTCTATGCCTACGGAGTCAATGATGTGCCCAGCATTCAGGATGCTTGGATCCATTTTCAGCTGATGGCTTCTAAATAGTACTATAAACTACTATTTACAAAGAGGAAGGGGAACGTGGTTGAAAACCATATTACAGTTTAAGATGGATGTTGTGTTTGAAAACCAAAGTTTATCTGGAAGAATTTGGGATATGATCAAATTAGCTTTTCACTAATTTAGAGATTGGAATGTTTTCAGACCAATTCACAATTCAAATCTATTTGTCTTATTTGTCCAAATAATGTTTAATTAAATGATTTGCCTAATCAGGAACTAATAACCTTTAGTCAATTGATTCTTTACCCTCTTTGAGATAGCTAGCAGCGAATAGGCATCAGGATTCCACTAAATGACTCTTGGTCATACTTGGAAATGAAAATGTAATGAGCGTCTAACGAACACAAGAAACACTAATGGTATATCAGTGTTTAAATCCTTAGTGAATAAAGCTTGTCCAAGCTTAAACAACAGCTAAACAAATGTTTCTGTATAGCATAGCGTCACATGCATTCCATTCTGTTAGCATTGCCTTTACTCATCAGCAAACACATGAAAGGATCAACATCATCAAGAGACATATTCTTTGTTGTGTCCCTAATTATGGCAGACCTGCAAACCACTGTGGTGGAGATGCGGGCCAGCCAAAGCGGACCCAAGCTTCATGGGAGGCAAAAGAAAGAAAGAATCTTGTGTGCTCTGTGATTTCGTCTGTCCTCACACAGAGGGGGGGTGACTTGCCTATAGAGGCCTCGGTAGGGGGGGTTGCAGAGATTCCACAGCTGATTCCACATCATGATATCAAGATGAAATATGGACACTGGTTCCCAATCTCCAAAAGAGAATGATCATGGAATATGGCACAACATATATATATATATGAAAAAAAAAATGTTTTCTCACCCCTCGTGGGGTGGTATGAGTCATCCTCAAGATCGGGTCCTCTACCAGAGGCCTGGGAGTTTGAGGGTTCTGCGCAGTATATTAGCTGTTCCTAGGACTGCGCTCTTCTGGACAGAGACCTCTGATGTTTTACCTGCAATCTGCTGTAGCCACTCTCCCAGTTTGGGGTCACAGCCCCCAGTGCTCCAGTTACCACTGGCACCACTGCTGCTCTTACTTTCCACATCTTTTCTAGCTCCTCCTTCAGTCCTTGGTGTTTCTCAAGCTTCTCATGTTCTTTCTTCTTGATGTTGCTGTCGCTTGGGATTGCCACATCTATCACTACTGCCTTCTTCTGCTGTTTGTCGATCAACACGATGTCTGGTTGGTTAGCCATCACCTGTTTGTCAGTCTGGATCTTGAAGTCCCATAGGATCTTAGCTCGGTCATTCTCAACTACCTTAGGAGGTGTCTTCCATTTTGACCTTGGGACTTCCAGCTCATACTCATGGCAGATGTTCCTGTACATTATGACAGCTACCTGGTTGTGGCGTTCCATGTATGCACTTCCTGCCTGCATTTTACACCCTGCTGTTATGTGCTATATTGTTTCAGAGGCATCTTTGCACAGTCTGCATCGGGGGTCCTGCCTAGAGTGGTAGACCCTGGCCTCTATTGATCTTGTACTGAGTGCCTGTTCTTTTGCTGCCATGATTAGTGCCTCTGTGCTGTCCTTCAGTCCAGCCTTTTCCAGCCACTGGTAGGATTTTTTGATATCAGCCACTTCTTCTATTTGTCTGTGGTATACGCCGTGCAGCGGCTTGTCCCTCCATGATGGTTCTCCTTCCTCTCTCTTGTCCTCACTTTCGGTTTTCTCCTGCCTGAGGTACTCGCCAAGCCATTTGTCTTTGGGGGCCATCTTTCTGATGTACTCCTGGATCTTAGTTGTTTCATCCTGGACAGTGGGCTTGACACTCACTAGCCCTCGGCCTCCCTCGCTACGCTTGGTGTACAGTCTCAGAGTGCTGGATTTGGGGTGAAACCCTCCATGCATTGTGAGGAGCTTTCTTGTCTTGATGTCAGTAGCCTCTATCTCCTCATTTGGCCAGTTTATTATTCCAGCGGGGTATCTGATGACTGGTAGGGCATATGTGTTGATGGCTTGGATCTTGTTTTTCCCATTCAGCTGACTTTTCAGGACCTGACTTACTCTTTGTAGGTATTTAGCTGTGGCAGTCTTTCTTGCTATCTCCTCATGGTTTCCTCTAGCCTGTGGCAACCCAAGGTATTTGTAGCTGCCCTGAACATCTGTAATGTGGCCTTCTGGTAGTTCAACCCCCCCAGTTCTGATCATCCTCCCTCTCTTTGAGACCATGTGACCGCACTTGTCCAGTCCGAATGACATCCCAATGTCGTTGCTGTAGATCCTAGCAGTGTGGATCAGTGAGTCGATGTCTTGCTCACTCCTGGCATATATATATATATATATATATATATATATATATATATATATATATATATATATATATATATATATATATATATATATATATATATATATACTCACCGGCCACTTTATTAGGTACCCCATGCTAGTAACGGGTTGGACACCCTTTTGCCTTCAGAACTGCCTCAATTCTTGGTGGCATAGATTCAACAAGGTGCTGGAAGCATTCCTCAGGGAGTTTGGTCCATATTGACATGATGGCATCACACAGTTGCCGCAGATTTGTCGGCTGAACATTCATGATGCGAATCTCCCGTTCCACCACATCCCAAAGATGCTCTATTGGATTGAGATCTGGTGACTGTGGAGGCCATTTGAGTACAGTGAACTCATTGTCATGTTCAAGAAACCAGTCTGAGATGATTCCAGGTTTATGACATGGCGCATTATCCTGCTGAAAGTAGCCATCAGAAGTTGGGTACATTGTGGTCATAAAGGGATGGACATGGTCAGCAACAATACTCAGGTAGGGTGTGGCGTTGCAACGGGGCTCAATTGGTACCAAGGGGCCCAAAGTGTGCCAAGAAAATATTCCCCACACCATGACACCACCACAACCAGCCTGAACCGTTGATACAAGGCAGGATGGATCCATGCTTTCATGTTGTAGACGCCAAATTCTGACCCTACCATCCGAATGTCGCAGCAGAAATCGAGACTCATCAGACCAGGCAACGTTTTTCCAATCTTCTATTGTCCAATTTCGATGAGCTTGTGCAAATTGTAGCCTCAGTTTCCTGTTCTTAGCTGAGAGGAGTGGCACCCGGTGTGGCCTTCTGCTGCTGTAGCCCATCTGCCTCAAAGTTCGTCGTACTGTGCATTCAGAGATGCTCTTCTGCCCACCTTGGTTGTAACGGGTGGTTATTTGAGTCACTGTTGCCCTTCTATCAGCTCGAACCAGTCTGGCCATTCTCCTCTGACCTCTGGCATCAACAAGGCATTTCCGCCCACAGAACTGCCGCTCACTGGATGTTTTTTTTCTTTTTTGGACCATTCTCTGTAAACCCTAGAGATGGTTGTGCGTGAAAATCCCAGTAGATCAGCAGTTTCTGAAATCCTCAGACCAGCCCTTCTGGCACCAACAATCATGCCACGTTCAAAGTCACTCAAATCACCTTTCTTCCCCATACTGATGCTCGATTTGAACTGCAGGAGATTGTCTTGACCATGTCTACATGCCTAAATGCACTGAGTTGCCGCCATGTGATTGGCTGCTTAGAAATTAAGTGTTAACGAGCAGTTGGACAGGTGTACCTAATAAAATGGCCGGTGAGTATATATATATATATATATATATATATATATATATATATATATATATATATATATATATATATATATATATATATATATATATATATATATATAATGCACACCTACAATCAAGCCAGCAAACAATGTTAAATGATTATAAGAAATGGAAGAATCATGGAAAAGATTGTGATAGCTAAAGTATGTTGCCAATAAATAGAGGCCTGGAATCACATCCCAGTTGGCAAAAATATATTTAACTATTTTCCCTATGATGATACTTGTCATGGTAAAAGATCTTTTTGCTGAGAATTGTAAAATAATATTATTATTTTAAGTTCCTATCATTACCAGTTACCCTTTTGTTACCCTGAAAAGAGAAAATGTCAAATCAGTCGAAAATACACCCCTTCATGTGAACAAAGTATAAGTCAATTTATTATCCTGAGCTCCTAAATGAAACAAACCTCATTATGAGTAATAACTTGATCAATCTCAGTGCAAAATGTTAAAATCATAACATAAAAATGTTTTAAACAGATAAGTTCAGCTCTTCAGAATTAGGGTCAGTCAAAGCACACAAAGAACAATTTGAGGATTTAATCTCAGCGCTCCTCTTCCCCAATGGTAGCTGAGATGACCCGATCATCAGAGTTCATTCTATAATCCAGAAATCTCTGCCAATACTGACCATCAGCCATCAGGTGGTCATCTAACACTTGGACTTTCTTTTGGTCTTAAGAATCTAATATCAAACACTCAGATACTAAAAATTTTCACCTTTCTCATAATACAGCAATTTCCCTTCTCATTCATGTTGTATGATTAAATAATCAAAAACCCAAACCTCATGTCAGACATCTTCAGGTGGGCGTCTTCATCTTTCTGTTGATGTTGGTCCCTTATACAGGCGACATTTTGAACATTGCCTGCAGAACAGCTGGTCCTCAACACATCAGGTGGACTACTGATGTATTAATTAACCAATCAGAGGGGATTATTCTGGTCCTTTATTCTGATTTGCTTTTTTTGAAGTTTTACCTGGTTCCTTCCTGAT